CCAGGAACCAATCGCCCAACAAATATGCAGGAGAAAGTGGAGATGGATTGGACACTCACTGAGGAGGCCGCTGGGTGACATCGCGCGTCAGGCCAATGCTCGAGTGGAACCCGAAAGGGAAGCGGCGAGTGAGACGTCCAAGGGTGACATGGAGGAGATCGTGTGAGGAGGAGATGAAACAGTATGGATTAACATGGATGCAAGTGAAAAGTACAGCAGAAGACAGAAGCAAGTGGAGGCGTGCAGTTGAAGCCTTATGTTCCACCAGGAACCCAAGGGAACAATAATAATAATATAATATAGAAGAAACTCTGGGAACAAACCAACCATCCAACAATCTATCGTCCAACAGATATGCAGACTGAAATAGTGATGGATGGATGCATGGTGACGAGGATGATGGCATTTCTGATTTCAGTGGACTGGATCATACAACCCACTATTGAGGGCCGGGGGCAAGAAGAAGGAAATACGTTTAGTCGACAGAAAGACTTTAGAAAAGCCAATTCCTTATAAACTTGAGGATTCACATGGAAAACCCAACAAGTTGGCAGAATAGACTGGCAGTGATAATAGGAATTCAAGTAACTATGAAGAAGACAAGCATCGAATACCATCAATAGAGGGAATTTCAAGGAAATCAGGACTTTCACTTATCTGGGCAGAATCATTTCATCACTGATATAAGAATAGAACTTGGGCTCTGTGGTGGTAAAGTATAATTCCATTATGGGTAAAATTTATTTTGATAAAGTCTCACACAGTGTTGTCATACAGTAATAATAACTGATGACCACGTTTCGAGCACAATTTGTATACTGCTCATAATCATATCAAGGCACTACTCACACAACTTTCTTGCTTCATTTATATACGTGATTAAAAACTGATGATTAGACATTTGAATAAAATCAAATAAGAAGAAGTACTGCTAAAGCCCGGCTAGCCAGCAGTAACCCCGGTAAGGTGAAAAAGTTGGACATCAGGTGGGCAACGCCATAGCTTAAGAAACATCTCTACTGCTTTTGAAATCCCATGTACCACATAGAACTTAAAAGAATGGAATAAAAAATCGCCGGATCAGTAATTCGGAGACCCGTCGTTTTCGTCCTCTCACGACGCCGATTTTCACGGCTTCATCTTCAGTCATCATCCCCACCCACTAGGTAAAATAAACAAAGCACGTATGTACCCTGACTGCTTCTGGGACCATCACAAAAGTACACTTTGTATATTATGATTATTGTTCCGGTTGGGTTCCGAGTGGAACATAGGTTTTCAGCAGCACACCGTATTATGTGCAGTCTCTCTTAGCTAGCTGCATAATTGTCCGTAAGCAGCTCTCATCACGTCCTCATACGATGTCATCCATGCCAATCTTGTATACATAGCCAACTCGTCATTTTCTATTCCAGTCCTAGTGTACAACTTTAAGCACAGTGTTGCTTAGCGGTCTTCTCAGAGTGTGTTTAATCCGTTTTCGTTTCCTTCGGAACGTTTTTTGGGCAATAGGTTTTATGTTGGGTCGTTACCCAGCCACAGTTCTTTATTACTTATCGCTTCTGGTCTTTTAATCGTCAGCATGGGTGGAAGGCAGATATCGACAAACGTCTGTAGTAGCCTGTTGAAAATGCCTTTAGTGACACGATTGCCAAGTCTTACGCCGATTTTAGATTAATGAAGGTCTTTCTTACCTTTCTGATCCTAAGCGGGTTTCACATTCTCGTCCATGTCGGCTGCCTGCAGTTGAAACAAACGATTGTTAAAGAAGAGTTACGTAATAACATGGATAGAAAAATAAGCGTATCCTGTCAAAAAGGGTCAAAGAACACTATCCAGCGTGCCTGAAGAAAGGAAGTAATGGCTGCATAAGGAGTGCAATAATAGAACACCTCGTCAACACTGGTCATTCCATCTCAACAAACGCCTACATCAAAGCAATCTACAAAGTGAAGAACAACTTTCCAAAGATAGTACGATTCCGTCTTCTTTGCATCGCAGAAGCCCTAGCCATTAAGCTAGAGGAACCAGAACTGTGTATACAAAAGAATATTATTCAACCACTTCTACTCCCATGGTAACAACTATGTTGATTTGACTTAACTTTTGTTTGTATGCTTATTTTTCTAACTACTTAAAATCCTTGTGTAGTTCCGTATGTTATTTTGTTTCCATGTACACCCTGAGTACAACTCTTTCATTAAACTATTCATGTTATTACATAACTCGTTTTTAACAATCGTTTGTGACAACTCATCACTTTTGTTACTACCCTCTTATATCAACATCCAATTTATCTGTCTGTAGCTGAGACGATTCTGATCACTGAGGTAAGTCAAATTCCTCCTGTTGGTTGTGGTGATTGACACTTTTTTATTGTTGAATAGGCCTCTTCACAGTCCCTGCCTTCTTTATGTTCACTTGAAGTCCTTCGTTGCCATCCTCTTTAACCAGCTTGTTAGCTTTCTCCTCTAGATCTTCAAGTTTGTGTGTGACATGTTGTATGCGAATAAGGCCTATACAAAAGTTGATAAGACGTTTTATTAATTTTGCTTAATTTCACTGTGTCTCTTTATTTTCACTTTTTATACACATTACAGAGATACCCGTGCCACCGGTTGCTTGAAACCAATCCGATTGAATGAACCTGTTACTTCATTGGGTAAAGCATTCGCTGAAGTCGACAATGTTATTGCCCAGGTAGTATCAAACGCTTTCTCCACCCCAACAGTCAACAACAATGCAAATTCAACAGTATCTATGACCCCCCTGATAAATCCGTCTATCACAACGTCAACCGCAGCAATGCCAAGTATACCAATGACTGTTATCACTGCACCTAATACAGATCATTTGAAAAATAATAATTTCATGTTATCTAATAATGCAAATTTTATGCATAATACTACTGAAATCAATAATAATAGTAGTATCGGTAGTGCTTGTAATCATCATCATCATCATGATATCAATGATACCTTGTTAAATAATCAGGCCAATATAATTGATAAAAAGTCTATCCCAAGTCATAGAGAATCTCTTCCTATACAAACTTTACACTTTCCACCGATATTAGACACACCATGGGAGGAACCAGATTGTAGTGAAGGTAAGAAGTTCTATGTATTTCATTGCATTGTGTGATTTTTTTGTTATTATTTCAATTGAAAAAGAGAAGACATTCAGCGAAGAGACTCTTTTCGGCGAACTCATTCACATAGCTGTACAATACCATTTATATATAATTATTTGTGTGTATGTGTGTACATGAGGTTTGTCATGTTTAGATAATTGGTTAGTTAATACAAGAATGATGTAGTATAGAGACAAAGTTAATCAGACAGCAACTAAAGTAAGATTGAGTCAGTAAGCTAGATGACGTAATATAATTGACTAAAATGTTACAACTTAGGTAAGGATAGCAAGAGAGGTAATTACAGGTAGAGATTAAGTAGAAGTGAAATTGAGTAAATAAGTTGGATGACGTACTATAAATGACTAGAAACTGAGCGATGTTCAAGTCAGTAACAGTGTTAATGAGGTGTAGAAATTGAATCGGGTGGGGTAGAGAACAAGAAAGTTGAAAATGTAAAATATTACAATTGAGAAGGCAAAATAATACTAACGAATAGACAGAAGGAAAGATTAGGTAGAATTTACTTGTCGGCTAATAAGATAGATTACGTCGATTGTAAATGTAGTGATTGAACGAACTTCTTCTGTATGCAGAGTTCAGGACTAAGCAAGTCAATCGGCATTGCTTCTGTAGTTTGAAGAAGTCTGATTCGTACACCTTTAGGGAGACTACTTCTTACTTTGTAGACGACTTTGAAGTTTGTTTGTGGTGTAGCTTGGTGTCCGGATTCTATCAGATGTTCTAAGATGGAACTGCGGGGGCATCGATTTTCTCATTTGTAAAACCATGTTGGTAAGTGTTCGGTGATACGTTTGGAAAGCGAGTGCTGCGTACAGCCGACATACCTGGCTCCACACTAGCAGGTGAATTGATAAATGCACATTGATGAGGCCAGCAGCGGAATACGTCAGTCGGAAACCTTCGAACCTTCATCAGTTGTAGCGTGTTCGGCGACTAGTATGCCATGGAGTCAACGACGCTTCCAAACCATTCTAGGAAGCAGGGATAGGACTGAATGCTTCATAGTGTGATTAGCTGTTCAGGCACTCATATAACTCCAACAAACCATTCAGTTGTCTACAAATGATTTAGTATGATCGTGTACATACCACAATAAGTTATCCTGGCAAATCTTCCATACCTAATAGGCCTAAATGGACAGATCTTCCAGCCATGACACAAGAAAGAATACGTGTTGGATATAGAATGCGCCATTGCAAATATGAACGGGATTTCAGACTTACAGGAGTTCCGTCTTAATTCTTTTGTTATTTGCCTTATTATTACGCGAACCCTTGGGTTCTGAATGGACCATAGAGCTTCATTAGGGCTTCGCTATTTCTACCGGTTCTATTCAGTCTTTTTTAGCTCAAACATTGTTATTACCTTTCTAAACAACTACAGTATTAACAGGATAAGGTTTCCGTGTTCTACATTAGTTAAATAAACAATCAGGGTTAACGAAGTTAGAGGTGAATATGTCGGCTGAAAACTACACCTGTGGGAGGGTTATAAGTTCATTTCTCCAGGGATGCACCCGAAAATCTTGCATAGTTTACTTGTGGTGTCCGTAGGCTTGGGAAAATAAGAAAGGTTGAGTGTGTGGCTAGCGACGCCACCCGTCAAAAGTCTTCAAAATCTGGATCCCTATATTCAGTCGAGAAACCAGAGTGATGAAAAAATACATGTCCAGAGAATACAAGTATACTCAGCACCTTCCAGAATCAAACACCTATCTGAATGGGAGGTAGTCATCGTTCATTCATCTGTAACTGAAATTAGGCACATCTGCAGGACCTGATGGAATTACTCCAGAGGTGTTGAAGATCAGTGGTGACTAACTGTTTTCTGGGTTAACTAAGATATGAAACAATATCTAGGAATCAGAGTTAATCGTGTAAGATAGAGTAAGTTATCGATTACCCCAGTTTATAAGTAGGGAGACAAGTCTTCGTGTGATAACCACAGGAGAAAATGCTGAACTAACGTTACATCTAAAGTTCTAGGCTCCATAATCATGTGTAGACTAAATGATACTCGGGAGAAACAAACACGAGAAAATCAGGCAGGCTTTAGACAAGATAGAGGGTGTATTGATCATATCTTCACCCGTCGACAGATTCTGGAACTTCAAGATACTTACAGGTGTCGATCAATCGGTATATTTCTTGACCTGAAAGTGGAATTGGATTTCATCGACAAAGAGGTACTATGGCAATCTTTGGTCTTGGAGGGAATGTCAAGAAAATACATTATACTAGTCAAGGCACTCACTCTGCTCGAAATCATGAAGCCATCTAGGTAAGAGCTTACGAAGAGTTATCATCTGACAACTGTGATCATAACCATTGGTGTCCGTCGGGGATGCTCACCTTCATTTCCATTTCTGTTTCATTTCATCATAAATGTACTGATGGACTTAACCCTAACTGACTTGAGAGACTCTGGGATTGACTTGTTACGAACTAAGGAATAATCTCGTTGACTTAGAACATGCAGATGATATTGTCCTTCCTACTGGGTGAAGACGATGACATAATGCAGAATCTTCTGAAGACCCTGAGGAATAACAGTCTTCGAATGTCTGACATGCGATTCTCTCCCCTTGTCAAATGTAAGATTAAGCTACCGGACTGGCTGGCCTACACTGACTCCCTGCTTAAAAACAGGGAGCGAATGAAGTAGTACGGCGTGTTGACCACTTCACTTATTCAAGAAGTTGATGAAGAAATCTCAGCATAGATACAAAAGGTTCATGTGGCAGCTGTCTATCAGTTGTTCTTTGGTTATCAATAATTATTGTAGTTGATGACCTTTAATATCAGTTAATTCCAATAGTCAAAAATTACTCATCACCAATGTAAATATTATTATCATTTATTCCTTCCTTGAAGTCCCAGTCGAACATAGAGTCCTTCGCTTTTGTTGTCTCTTTCAGTTACCTCTGCAATTGTACATAAGTCTTCATTTCATATATATATATATATAATCTTCTCCATATCACCCTAGGACGTATGCACATCCGAAAAAGAGAAGACGTTCAGCGAACAGACTCTTTCCGACGGCGAATTCATTCACATAGATGTACAATCACATTTAGATATACAATTATTTTTATGTGTGTGTGTACATGAGGTTTGTCAAGTTTAGACAATTAATCAGGTAATACAAGAATGATCTAATATAAAAACATGGTTAATTAGACAACAACTTAAAGGAAGATTGAGTTAGTAAGTTAGATGATTTAATATAATAGACTAAAATGTTTCAACTTAGGTCAGGCTAGCAAGGGAGGTAATTACAGGTAGAGACTAAGTAGAGGTGGGGTAGAGAATAATGCCATTTAAATTACGACTAAAGTTGAGCCAATAAATCGGATGACGTAACATATATGACTAGAAATTGAGCGTTGTTCAAGTCAATAACAGTGGTAATCAGGTGTAGAAATTAAATCTGGTGGGAGTAGAGAATGGGGAATTTGAAAATGTAAAATATTACAGCTGTAAAGACAAAATAATACTCATGAAGAGACAGAAGAGAAAAAAATTAAGTAGAATTTACCTGTCGGGTATTAAGATATATTGCGTTCATGGCAAGTGCGTTGAATGAACGAACTTCTTCTGTATGTAGAGTTGAGGACTTAGCAGAAACAATGGCAATTCACTGCCTTCCCCCCACCCTATTTAATTTCTACACCTCATTACCACTGTTACTGACTTGAAAAACGCTCAATTTCTAGTCACCTATGTTACGTCGCCCAACTCACTTGCTCAACTTAAGTCCTAATTTCAATGGCATTATTCTCTACTGCACCTCTACTTAATCCCTACCAGTAATTACCTCTATTGCTAGCCTGACCTAAGTTGAAACATTTTAGTCAATTATATTACGTCATCTAACTTTCTAACTCAATCTTACACACAAGAGGTGGCTCTTGTGGCCCAAGTGGTCTAGTGGATAACGCTTTGGCGTTTGAAACTATATGGGCACTGGGTTCAAGCCTTGGTGGGAACATCATCAGTCACTGACTGTGGAATGCAGGTACATCCACCAGCTGACGAGTCACTCCCAAGTAAGAATAAATGCGCGTTATCCTGGCTGGATTCCACTGCTAGTCACCATCCACCAATCGGCTTTCAATCTTACTTTAGTTGCTGTCTAATTAACCTTGTTTCTGTACTAGATCATTCTTGTATTACCTGATTAATTATCTAAACTTGACAAACCTCATGTACACACACATACACACAAACAATTGTATATCTAAATGCGATTGTACAGCTATGTGAATGAATTCGCTGTCGAAAAGAGTCTCTTCGCTGAACGTCTTCTCTTTTTTTTCGTATGCACATCTGATAAGCTATCCTTTCAGATTTCACCTAGGAGTCTGGCTGGAGTCCAATATCACTTGAACATCTTGAAATGTGATAAACGCAGTTAGAAATCATCATCTTCTCTTCCATTGTGATTTCAGTTACAACTTCATTAATGAGTAGTGTAAGCACAATATCGCTTGAAATTAAGTCATGCGTAGATAAAGGCTATCCCGGTCCAGAACAAACAAGAAGCCGGTCACTGTTTCTACCATACTATCAATAAACAAAGCAATAATTATATATACAACAAACCTTAACGGTTTCAAGAGTACAAAGAACAACGCTTAACAGAAAGCAAAGTACCGCTATCATAGCGGAATAACGTTAAAGCCAAAATTGCGAACTAGCCGGAATCAGACACGACCGTTCAGGTAAGCAGTCAGTAGAAGAATGAACCCAAGTAAGGAAGGGCATAGAACAGAGAGCGGTTAAGAGATAGACAGAGCATAGGCACAAAGATAGAATTTAATTGGCTACTTAACCAGGTAAGCTGATACAGATGAAGATCAATAAATAAGATAAACTCGACAGAATAGTACAAAGTAAGACATGGGTCAGCAAAAATAACGGTTCACAAAAATACTCTGATTGGGTCAT